TAATACATGGCCCCCATACTGGGGTGGGTGTGTGTAGTTATTTCCAGGGGATGAGGCCACCCTTCTTACAATACAGCCTGGGAAATAGGAAGCCAGAGGAGAAGGACTTTGTCTAGCTCATTGTTACTATCATTTTTATTACAGTAGCGCTTAGAGGGCACAACCAAGATCAGGGCACTGTTGTGCTGGGCAATGTAAAAACACACATTAAGAGATAGTCCCTGCTCTGAGAAACTTACAACCTAAATAGACAAGATGGACAAAGGGTGGGAGGGGAAAGAGAGGCCAAGTGACCTGCTCAAGATTACAGCAGGTCAGTGGCAGATCTGGGAACAGAATTCAGGTCTCTTGCCTTCCGGACAAAGGCCCATGCTGCCTTCCAGCACTTGTGCTTTGGGTTTTAACTGCCATTCCCTCCCTGAGATTTTGGAATTGTTCTACTTCATTTCCTCACATTTGTCACCCACTGGGGTATACAGGTTCACTCACTTACAAGGGCCTGATCGCTGCCTTCCTTACATACCCCAAACACCCACCCCCTGAAACTCCGGGACATTTTCAAGGTAAAAAGTCATTCAGACAGAGTCTGACTTTGTCTTGCTCCTTATTAATAAATACTCTAGTGTTCTACTGTGGTGGCTTGTAACACTCTAGTAAACCTGCTGTAAGCAGTAGTCTTCTGGCAAAATACTGCAGAAAGGTTTGCAGCATATTTGGAAGGTTGGGTGTTATAGCAAGGAAGTTATACCTTAATTAAATAACCTAATCAAAACCATTGAACGTCAATGGGAATTAGGTGCCTAACTCACTTAGGGTACGTCTACATTACAAAATTATGTCAACCTAAGTTACGTCGAGTTACCTAAGTTATGTCAACCTAAGTTACCGCAATAATTAAATCACTTTTGCATGTCCACACTATGCTTCTTGGGTCAGCAGTGCATGTCCTCACCAGGAGTGCTTGCGCTGATTTAGCTGTTGGTGTAGGGCATTGTGGGATGGCTTCTGAAAGGCAGAGAGACAGTTGATGTAAGTAATGAAGGGTCTACACTAACACTGTATCAAACTAACTACATTGACCTAAGTGCTACGTCTCTCACGGAGATGGAGTTATTTAGTGGGTGAGTTACATGGGCGGGAGCAACATTTTAGTGTAGACGCTTACAGAATTAGGTCAACATAATCTGTAACACAAGAACTAGGGGCCACCAAATGAAATAAATAGGCAGCAGGTTTAAAACAAAAAAAGGAAGTATTTTTTTTCACATAACGCACAGTCAAGCTGCAGAACTCCTTGCCAGAGGCTGTTGTGAAGGCCAAGACTATAATAGGGTTAAAAAAAAAAACTAGATAAATTCATGGAGGATAGGTCCATCAGTGGGTATTAGCCGAGATGGGCAAGGATGGTGTGCCTAGCCTCTGTTTTCCAGAAGCTCGGAATGGGCGACGGGATGGATCACTTGATGATTACCTGTTCTATTCATTCCCTCTGGGGCACCTGACAATTGGCCACTGTCGGAAGACAGGATACTGGGCTAGATGGACCTTTGGTCTGACCCAGTATGGCCATTCTTACGTTCTTAAATAATATCAGTCTCCTTTTAAGCAGAAATCCAAAGAGTAAGGTCTATGTAGGGCTAAGGGAGCACTATTGACCTAACTCTGTAGCATAGACGTATTTGTGAATTCCAATTGGCACCTACCTATATTTTACAAAAATGTACAGCATCTAAATACATTTGTAAATCCGGCCCTTTGTCTTTATATAGCAATAGCATCCTTCCAGTAGAGGATCTCAGGTGCCTTATGAGCATTAAATGTTCACCACGTGCCTCAGCGGCAGTCAAACTGGGGCACAAAGGGGTTAATTGACTTGGTCATGGTCAGTGGAAGAGCCAGGAACAGAACCTGTGAATCCCAGTTGTCTCCTCTTCCCACTAGATAATGTTGATGATGCTGTGTAGAAGGTCAATGGGGACGTTCTGCTCCAACTGATCTGCCCACAGTGATCTCAGTTCCTGTTCATGGGAAATGAGCAAGAGGGGGTAAAATGAGGAAAAAATGAGGTAGAGAAAGAAATAGCTCAGGCAAATATTCTGACTGAAATTAATCTCTCCGGGGCAGCAGGAGTTGCCTAAACTGTATTTGAAATGCTGATACTTCAGTAGGGGGCTAACTGTGCCAGTGATCAGACTGATAATTCCTTTTAAATTATTGTTTTACCTCACTCCATCCAATTACTCAAGTTATTTTGCTATCCCACAGATCTGTCTGTTAATGTCAACAAAATGATTATAGGCTGCAACAGCGTCAAGATGTTTCACCCACAGGAACGCTGGTAAAATGTTTATGGCACAACACGTTGAAAAGTGCATTTGATGTGTAAATGTCAAGCATAATCTGCTTCCTATCGCTAGAAACAAAGTGGCACAATCACTGCCCCTAAAATGTCACACATGGAACTAAAGAGCTACTTTATTGCCGGCCACGTAAATCATCATGTAAATGGTCAGCGTTTGTGTCAGTAATTTCCTGAAGAATCCTCTCTGTTATTATACCGGTAGCTATTTGCTAGATAGCGTTGGGCAGAATGTTTGATTTGGAACAATTTCAGTGGAGAGTGCTGAGTTCTTCCTCTGGTGTATGTAGTGCTGCTGAAGACAGTGAGGCTTTTATATAAGAAAAGGGGCAATTTAAGATAGCAAATCTGAACACAAACCAGCCTCTTTTACTTGTGGAGCAAGCATTGACTTTCAAATGAATGAAAATACAAGTCTCCCATGACATGGTGCATTTTAGACACCTGCCAGGAGGCCTTTGCTAAATGCCACAGGGGTGGTCCTAGCCTGGCTATCTCCTTTGTTTTTGGACCTTCTTCTGATATGCTTTAATAATAATCATTAGCACTTACACTGTGTAGTCCTTTATATATTTAAACTACTGCACAAATACTAGTCAATGAATCCTTGCACCATCCCCGTAAGGTAGGTTCAGCAAATATTATTCCTATTTGATAAGGAAACTGCAGCAGAGAGGTGAAGTGACTTGTTCAAGGTCACACAGGTCAGAGGGAGAACCAGGAGCAGAGCTCGGGATTTCTTGACTTCCAACTTTGGGCTCAGTCCTTGGCCACTCCACCTCCCAACCTGCTTTGAAAATGAACTGCCAAGGACTTCCTACCAGACTGGGCCAAGCAAGTGCCTCAACTCTCCTTCAGCATCTTCTGTAACTGGAGGAACCTCTGCTTGCCCTGCAGAGTCTTCTGCCTACAACTAATGCACTTACACTTATTTGGATTAGCAGTTGTGTTCACTCTTCTTCCATCTGTTGTGATATTGTTGGGCACAACTGGCTCTTACCTGTGGCAGCTCCTGTAATTCAGATGCAATGGAGCTCTCGATAGCTCTTCTTGTGGTTTTCCTGCTTACAAAATTCTGATTGTAACTCTGAGGATTTTCCTCCTCCATTTTGGGGGCACATATCAGACCTTTTTGCCCTCTCTTAGGGTATCTTTAGTAAAAGCCAGGCAATGTACCAGCAGAAACGTTCCCCCCGCTGCCCTTCATCTTGATTAATCCCTTTGCACCGGAGCGTTAGGATTCTTCTTCTCTACAGACGTCTATCTCCATCTATTCTATGTTGGAACTCTCCAGCGGGAGAAAATAAGGCATCAATCAGATTTTCTGGCCATGGACAAAATAATGTGGGTAGTGAGTTCTTTTGAATTTAAACGGCGACTTCTTGAAGTCCACTAGGGGCTTCTCCACTGTCAATCTAAATAATGTGGAAGTTGCTCAGATACCATGGTGAAGGGCTGTACAAAGCCCTAAAATGGGTAGATAGATAGATAGCTTTTACAAAGAAACTTTTACAAACTCCTTCTCATGTTACAGATGGTTGGCAATCCTGGTTTTATGGCAAAATAATCTTTTTTTTTTGTTTTTTTTTTTAAAGGTTGTTGAAACAAACCACTTCTGAATGGAAAAGGTATTGAAATCCTGAAGATTTAATTTAATATTTTTATTACACATTTTTGGAGCCCTGATTACACCCCCCCACCTCCAGGAATTTATTTGCCTAAGAAAAATCATACCATGGATTACAAGATTGCAGGTTAAATCCACTGCCGTGAACTTATTTTTACAGCTCCGACTACACTTGTACAATTTGTAAAATCTTGTAACACCTTAAAGTTTTCAATACTACATCATGGAAGAAGGTACTTATATATGGATGAGCTAGACAGAAGACTCTGGATTTTCTCCTTCTGCTATCTTTTTGGCAAAAAAGAAAAAAAAAGGTGGAATCTCCTTCTTTTGAATGTACCTGTAAATAATTTCCTATAAATATTCTATAGTAAGTTCATGGGGTAATCAGAGAGACTGCCTCAAATTTTGTCCTTCAGCTTAGGTGCAAGGTAAAAAATGTAGAGATTGTCTGTAGAGTATAACAACATGGAAAATAAATTATGCCAAAGATGTGCACATAGTGTGCATGGAATTATATGAGTAAAGCCCCCATGGAACATACATGACAGCTAGGACTACATATTAGTTTGAATCTCAATTTTTCCAATACCTCATATTACACCTGGACATTTTAGAATGCAAGTCACTTCAGCCAGCACTGCATAACAATCATAATTTCCAGAAATATTATGATTATTGTATAACAATTCAATTAATAGATCTAGCGAAGTGGAGGAGATTTTTTTCTATCCAAATGTCACAGCAAGAGAGACCTCCATCTGATTGAAATGTCAGTGTGAATATTGGATAAGATCCCACGTTGCTGCTCCTTGATGTTATGGTCTTTTCCAGGCTTTGAATGTAATAAATACAGGAGTTATACTGCTCACTTTCCAGTTAGTCAAAAGGAAAAAAAAATAACAATCAAGTTACAATACACAATTAGATATAATATAGCTTTTTCTTTTTATATATCTATATAATCAAGTAAAAAAAGTTAAAATAGTTGGAAGTAAAAAATGAAAAAATAGCTGATTGTGTTTTTGTTTTTCTTTACAGTGATATGGTAGCAAATACAAGACAAATGCGTAATAAACCTTTACATAAGGTGTCTGGTCCCATCTCCAGCAATAGGGCTCAGCTTGGAATAGAAAATGAAATTGGTTGAATTTTCTTTGTTTTTGGCTGTAGCTTCTGTAGATGATGTGATGTGAGGAAAACATATTGCAAATATCCATCTCCAAGGTGTTTTACAAAAGACCTAAAACACCAAAGGATGAAATTTTCCCCTTTGCAGGGAGAGCCAGCACAAGCAACATGCAAGTCCCACTTAAGCTGTCAATCGTATATGCATCCATTCTGTACCCTCTTACCATAAAAAGACACTGGTTCTATACTTTTGTTCCCCTCATTCCCTCCAAAGCCACCCGTTGCATGCCCTGAGGATTAAATGGGACATAAATGATGCCCAGGCCTTTTGCTAGCCCTCTGCACAGGGGTGAATTTCTCCCAGAATGTTACACTGAAATGTTGATGTGTTCATTGACAAAGCTTGGCAAATGGTCACACCGAGCCCTATTTTGGCTGTAGAAAAGAAAGAAGTACTAGTTCCAGCATAAAATGAGATCAGATTAGACAACCAACACAAACAGTAATTTTTTCCTGTTGTCTGCATAATAATAACATCATGTTTGCATATAGAACAGCTTTTGCATTATTGCTCTACTTATAAGAATATAGTAAGGAACTTATAACAGACTTGCACGTTACAAACTTAAGGTTCTTTGGTGAAGAATGAAAAAACAGTATTTTAGCTGAAATACATCTCAGAGAAGTTTTTGCTTTTATCTGTTGATCCTTTGGATTCTCTCACAGAGGAGGGAGAGGTACTGAGTCAGCTTTACCATGGCAACGATGGCAACCCCACCAATCATCATGCATGTTGGCCAGAAAAGTGAGTGGAACAGCACGTTGGAACTGTAAAGTTTGGTTAATATCACATTCTTCTGAAAGCCTTCTGGGTCGTAAAAGCATGAGAAGCGCTGGTACTTCCTGAAATTTTCCATTACAACACTCACAAGTGACATGGACTCTTCGTAGTTCTTGCCACACTTGGGGATATAGGAACACTGGGAAGAAATTAAAAGGAAAAGAAATGTCTCTAACCAAATACTATTTCGGATGACAAACAGGGCAGACTGTCCCTTTCATAAGACCACAGAACAATTAAATGAATAGTAAGAATAATAAAATAGTCATAGTCATGGTCACAATTATATGAGGAACAATACTTTAAGCTTTTATAGCAGTTTCCATTTGAGGAACTCAAAGGTCTGTACAAATATTAATGGAGTAATCCTCACCCTACCCTCTTACAGACACTTAGCCCCAGGGGAGGGGGAAGCACTAGAATGGAGCAAGCAGGTATTACATTCCCCCTCTACATGAGCCCAAACTGGGAACAGGCGGAAACTCCTTGTACATTTCCTTTTTGCACATCCATGCAGAATGTGTCCCGTAATTAGGGCCAGTGGTTCGTCACATGGCCACAGGGTGATCCTGGGTTCCGTGATTGATTTGGTCTGTGGGTAGCTCTCTCTCTCTCTCTCTCAGACCCCTCTCAGCATTGTTGCATGGCTGAATCTGCCTGCATTGGGAGAACAGCTGTCAGTGGTTTTTGGTTATTAATTTAATTTTATCAAGTGAGATTTGCAAAGGAAATAGACATTTTGATTAAAATAATGTGACCTGTGACTTTTGATTTTTTTTAAATATATAAACTTCATAAATTTCCCCTGCTCTCTTTTATGACTATGCCATGACTTTTCATAACGTACTGCGACAAACCTGCTGCCCTAATAACAATCCATAGATTAACCTTGTAACTGGATTTGATTGATTCATTGGTGAGTTTATTAGCTGAGAATCTGATTTCAAGTGCAGCAGAGATGCTGGATGGCATTAGCAGACTGCAGCATTAAGGGTACAGCATGTCAGCACTTCTTTTATGAATATTTCATAGAGCAATAGAAATTAGAGATGGAAAAGACCAGAGAGGTCGCATCTCATCCATCTTCCTGCTAGAGAAGGATTGTTCCCTCCAGCATATTCTCTAGTTCTTTGCCCGCCATGAGGTTTCTCCAACTTCCCAGTAGAACCTAATAGATCACAGCCTGATAGACTGCACTGTAAGGAAATGTTTCATCCAGGTCAGCCTGAGTTTTCCTTTATATCCCATTGCTTCAAGTGGCAATTGTAACCCCTTGTGATTTTATTACGAGTCTCGATATTCAGGTTTTGTTCTTAAAGCCCCGATGCTGGATTCCTGTGAGTAGGTGAGCATCTGAGCTTTCATTTAAAAAAAAATAAGTTTCTGGTTGTGGAGAAAAGCCTGAAGGTATGACCCAAGTGCAGCCTAAAGGCTCAAAAAGCAGATGGCAAATAAAGAGAACCCCAAATTTATTATTATTTAAAATCTCATGATTTTTAAACCAGTCTGATGTTTTTAGGGGCCTGACTCATGATTTTTGAATATCTGAGGTTGGCAATACTGTAATCCCTTTATATCGCTCTCAGTAATTCCTTTGCATGCTTGGTGTTTACAGCCTTCCAGTGTTGTGTTAGCATGTCCTCCCCCTAGCTGCAAATGGAGCCAAGCCATATGGTACATATTTAGCCTTTTTAATGTTATCAGTCCCTCTGATCATGGGCCAGTTCTGTGTAGTTATTTAGGACTCAATTGGTCTTTTCCAATGTGCCCTGTGGGAGGGGTGGTATATAGCTGCCCCAACACACCTGGAAAATCTCTAGGATGTAATAACGCCCCAGAGAGTCACAATTCCTTCCCTGCTATGGCCTTTGTCCTCAGGTAACTGCTTACTACTTCTGAGCTGTGGGGGAGAGAGGATGAGATTAAACAAGGTTCTGCCCATTCTCTACCCTTCGTCAGCCACTCCCCATCCACTTGCTCAGGGCAAGAAATAGCAGGCACATAGGCTCCTAAACACCTGTGAGGATCTGGGCCTATCTCCCATTGGGAGGATCTGGGCAATAGTGCCCACTTGACTACAGACTTCTGGACCCAAGGTCCAGGGAAGCAGCTCAGAGGCCCTACATAGCCAGACAACATGGGCCATAATCTAGCTCTTAGTTTCCATCCAGTGTATAAACGCTCAGCCTGGGAATAACTGTGAATTGAATTGGCTGGACTGGATTTTGGATATGGAAAGGAATGAGAGGGTTCGGGGCTTAGCTTTGTTTGCTTTTTGCTTTAGTAATGCCTAGGTGCTAATATATTCCAGTAAGCCCAGACTATTCGTATTCAGATGAATTACAACACCAGACCTCCAACTCTTTTAAGTCTTTTGACACCAGGGACAGTAGACCCAACCCAGCCTAGGCTAGTCTAGTCATGGCAAGATGATTTTCAAATATCAAGCCTGCCAAGAACAAGTGCAAGGATAGCTAGATATCCTATACCAGTCATCCCTGGGTCCTTGTAGTAGGAAGGATTTTATCTGTGCCAGGGTCCTATATATGCTGTACAAGTCATTGATGCCTGTTATCCTAGGCGCTAAGTGCCAGGGTGGCTTAGAGGGCTGTTATCCCAAGTTCTAAATACCCATGTGGTTTGTAGTGCCCATTATCCCAAGCTCAGAGTGGCAGGATAGTTTACATTACCCATTATCTCAGGTTCTGAGTACTTGGGTGGTTTACAATCCCTGACTCAATGGCAGATTCCTAAAGCATCAGTGTGTGTTAAGCTTTCAACTGTGGCATTGATTCGTCTTTCTAGCTGATAGTCTTTTCAGCTAGAGTTGTAGAACAATGCAGCTGCCTATGTTGTCTTTTGCTGCTGACAGTTATGCGTAGGATTCCATGTTCTGGACAGATCAGTGGCTAGGAAACAACCCTCCTAGTCCACCTGTCCAAGGCTAACCTAACTAACCTGTCCACTAACCTACTAAAGGGGCGAGGTAGGCGCTGGCAATGAGGTATTGCAGAGCTCTTGTGAATGAGAAGTGTTTGAGTGCCTTATATGGTCTGGTTTTCATGTTATTTATCACCATATCTTGTAATTAAATCCATGGACTGTACAACACTTGTATAGTACCTCCTTAATGTCAGTGATGTGTAATATTAGAAATGTGCAGATATAAAAAAATATCCAATGTCTGCGTCTCTGGGTAGCCAGACGTATTCCAGGGAGGCATAAGAAAATTGGCAGGGAAAATAAGAGAACTCTCCTAATCTTTTGATCCTCATTTGAAATAGACCCAAAATAGCCATATCTCTTGTTCCAAATTCGAAAAACAGTTTGCTTTGACCTTTCCGCCCATTTATTTTAAACATTTGCATTTAAGGAGCATGAGAAAAGCGGTTCTTGTGGTGTTTCTAATGTGTTTCACACACAGAATGAAGTAGAAATCTATGACGAGAACTCATTCTTGTAAGATTTGCAGTCCAACTTTTAAGATTCAAAGGATTGGAGAATTCAGATAAGCGTCCAGATTTATGAATGTCTCTCCAAATTGGAGAACTGAACCAGGGGCAAAATCCTGATTTCACCTCCACCACTTTTAAATGTGTGTTACTCTTGATTTGCGTCAGTGTCAGGGAGAGTGGTGTCATGAGGCCTATTAAGTAACTAAACCTCACAATGTCTCTGTGAAATAGGCAATGGAAATACAGAGTCTCATTGATACTACCATAAATAAGGAGCAATTCCATTTATGCTAGTGGAGTTACACTAATGGAAAACTGGTGTCTCTGCGGCCCATCATTTAGGACGGGAAGGGAAGGGCACTGGCCTGTCCAGTGGAACTTGCAGGCTGTATAGGCAGTTGGAATGTCATTACTGGGTGTGGAATTCAGCCTGGACACTATGGTTAATGATCCTGCTCTTCTAAAATTTGGTATGGGAGCTTTAATGATGATATGGTTTGGTCAGGACCTTAATTTATGTCTCAGCCGAATAGTGGAAGAGAGAGAGGGAGCATGGATCAAAGAAGAGAGCTTTGCCTCTTTGACTCATCATTAATTCCCACAAAGCCTTTAGTGATCTGAGGAAATACTGTCCCCTGGAGCTGGGACAATGGGAAAAGAGAGTGGAACATGGGTGGCTCACTGGTACTGTCTCTTTCCCAGTACTCATATGTCAGCAGGTTTAAAGGTAACTGAACTTTTTGTGGGTACCTGCTAGATCCCATTATCATTTCTGAATAACAGTTGATTCAGAACTTTGGGGCCTTGGATCAGCACAGCAACCTTGGGCTGCAGCAAAACTCGGAGAAACTTCACAACTGCGAGTGGACTTTTTGCTCCCCTATAGCTCTACCAGTCACATTCAGCTCTTAGCCAGATGGCCCCTAAGGGAAGAGGGGTGGTCTACCAGGGAGAAGGGAAGGATGTGTAAGACAAGGGAATGGCAGATTTGAGTTAGAATCCCAGCTTTACCACTCAACTCTCCATGGGCAAAATTTTCTCATAAGTTCAGCTTGCCATTCTTCTGATCATTCTTTACTGCAGCTGGTTCAGTGTGGACTTTTCTTTCTTGAATTATTCCTAGGAAACAATTTTGGGAAGTTCTATGGCCTCTGTTATACAGGAGGTCCAACTAGACAGTCACAATGGTTTGTTCTGGGCTCGGAGACTTTGGTTACAGTGTGGTATAACAGTGATTCATAGTGTCTGTTCCTGACATCACTTATGCTCTGTGGATATAAATCAGGAGTAACCCCAGTGGAGAAAAAGAATGAAACTGATGTAGAGAGAGATCAGAATCAGGCCTTTCCAACTACTTGAAGTACTGCAACACTTCCAAGGCATAACAGAATGACTCAGTAGTTTGAATAGAAGAGACTGCTGATCCTATTTACTTTCCCCAGAGGCTGCTAGCAGCTGACAGTTGAGAAGAGAGTGGAGCAGCTAAGCTGCTATGGTTGTAGGATTGACAAGGGGCTAGGCAATAGTCTTAAAAGGCTAGAAATAAAATAAGCACAGGGAGAGGAATGAAAAATCTTGTGTGCACTTCTGGGGAGATTAAAATAGCTCAATCGACACCCATTTACTTCCTGTTGATTCTGATCAGAAACCGACAGGAGTGCATTATATATCTCAATATAAATTG